AATTTGGGGTGCTTTAATGACACACACACACACACACACACACACACACACACACACACACACACACACACACACACACACACACACACACACACACACACACAGATTCCCCACCATCGTTTTTGAGCTAAGTGATATAAGACTGTGAGAGTGATGTAGTGAATACCAGAGAGACAATTTTTTGTGCAGTGATGAAGTGAATCGTCGGCGTAGAGGGAATCCATTCTTTACCCTTTGGCTTGTTTTTAGACAGATTTAGCTACATAGCATATAGCAGTATACACGTGTCTGTCTCCCAAGAGCATGATGAAAAACGGAGGGAACAGAGATGAAAGTAGGGAGGGATGTCTCCGAAGAGAATGAAGAGTGAGAAGGGAAAGCAAGCAAGAGCAAAAATCCCACTGACTTTTTTCCCGGAAGTTTCTTGGACTACCGTCTTCCGGAATAGGCCATTTGTGTGCAGCAGTGGATGTCTGTTATCAAGTTATATGGCTTAGATGCCCGTTTCCATTTGTGATGACATTTTTGTCGTTTGTGTACGGTGGCCGGTTTTGTCGTATATGACGCGAACAGGAACATGGCGATGTCGAACTGCAGTACCGTCTCCTCTGGGGGCGCAATCACCGTCAGCAATTCCTCGTACGTGTCCGTTGATGGGCTTCAGATCTCGAGATGTTCTGCAGGTGTGAAGGGCGGTGGTATTAACCTCGAGGCTGTGGACAGGATCAATCTCCATGCAGTCGTCGTGGACAGGTGCTTTTGCTGGTCACCTGCCAGTCCAGATGGTGTGACGATGGGCGGGTCATCGATCGTCTCCGTCAGTCTGACAGCTATGACAGCTGTAGCAGCAGCCTCAGCAGAAGATGGGGCGAATGCACAGCAGAGCATTGGAGGCGGTGGGATTGCGATCGTAAAGTCTTGGTCTACAGACTTGTCGGATGTCGAGGTATCCCGATCCTCAGCTGTCAGATTCGGCGGAGGTCTGTACTTGTCCCAACTGGCGCAGGGCTCTATGTCTGGCGTAACCTTGAACGAGGTTGCAGCATCTGAGGCAGGAGGGGGCCTATACTTAACCGATTCCAACGTCACCATCCAACGGTTATCGGCGACGAATGGGAGAGCGTGGAAAAAGCAGGGAGGTGGTATTGCAGGCGTGCGGTCGAGAGTCGAAGGAGACCAGGTGCAGATACACAATTGCTCGTCGAGTGGGATGGGCGGAGCAGTGGCATTTTCTGACAGCAACGTAACAATGCAAGAGATGGCGGTAACCCAGAGTTCGTCGGAGACTTCTCTTGGCGGAGGTGTTGCAGTAGAGAAGGGGAGGTTTGAAATTTTAGGCCCGAGTTCGATATTCAACTCCCAAGCAGTTTTCGGGGGTGGAATAGCTGTCGTACAAGGACTCCTCCGCTTTCAGAACTTGACCCTTTCAAATTGCAAGGCCTTTCAGGGTGGTGGTGGACTATTTGCAGAGCAAGCAACTGTAGCGATTAAAGACTCGGTTTTGAGCGGGAACGATGGCAGTGAGCGCGGGGGTTGCGTCAGCTTGGAAAGCACGACTTTCAACGCGTCCAACACACAGTTTGTGGCTTGTCATGCGTTGTCCGGTGGCGCTCTCCACACGGATGACCCTCGTCGCTCGGGCTCGATCACACGTGTCGACAGATGCTTGTTCCGGAGAAATAGGGCACTCGATGGAGGGGGCGGGTACTTTGCAGGAGGCCCAGTTTTTATGGAGGCCAGTGACATGCTAAGCAACACAGCGAATGCAAATGGAGGTGGGGTGAGCGTTGGGATCACAGGGATGCTGTCACTTTCTGACACATCCTGGGTCAGTAATGAGGCAGTGCTGTCGGGGGGTGCAATTTTCGTCCGTCATGCTGCAGTCGGTCAGGATCCCGGTGGACTCGACATCCTTAGGGCAATTATTCGACGTAACCGGGCATGGCAGGGCAGCGGCGGCGGGATTGCGATCAGCGAGAACGCTTCCGTATGGGTTAATGTGAGTGACTCGTTGATCGACAGCAACTTTGCAGAAGCTTCTCGGGGGGGAGGGATCTGGTCAGCAAGCGCCCCGGTCACGATACTCCGCTCGAACTTCACCTCCAACTCTGCATCTCTAGGGGGAGGTTTGAGCTTGATGGCAGAAGAAGCGCCATTAGACGCCGGGCCAATCCACGGTCAGGAGCCCCAGCAAGATTACATAGTGAGGACCTTGGATTTCATTCTGGATTATCCCCGCATGAGCCGCATAATTAGTTCTATGTTTACAAAGAATCGTGCTCAGTTTGGGGGAGGGGTGGTGGTAGGTGAGAAGTCTGCTGCTAGCTTTAAGTGGTGTGTGTTTGGAGGGAACAGTGCAGAAGTTAGTGGGGGAGGGCTTTGCTTCCAAACCATGGGAGTGGGTCTGTTGGAGGAGAGCCAGTTTAAGAACAACACGGCGAGGGAGAGTGGGGGTGCGATTGCTGTGATGGGAGGTGTTATGTTAGCGTCTGCAACGGAGTGCGACTTCAGCGGCAACCTGGCGGCAAGTGGTGCGTGCATGTCGATCACAGAGGGCGCCCATGTGAACATGAGCAGCTGCAATTTCACTGAAAGCGGCGCCACGGCCATCATCGTGTCCGGGCAGGGATACGCAAACTTCGTGGAGTGCTCCTTCCGCCTCAACAGCGACGTCAGGGGTCCAGGAGCCGTCCACGTGTTGGAGAACGGGAACGTCACGGCTTGGGGAAGCGTATTTGCAGAGAACAAGGGAGGAATTGGGGGTGCGGTGACAGTGGAAGACGCGGGCAATTTACTACTTCACAACTGCACATTCGAGAAAAACAGTGCGTGGAGAAATGGGGGTGCATGTAGCTTCACGTCCACGGCGACCATCTTCGTCAATAGCTCGCTGTTTACATGGAACGAATGCGCAGGCATGGGTGGGGCCATCTCTGTGATGCTCAACGTCTCCGGCGCAGTTCAGTACTCCAGGTTTTCAAACAACCGTGCTCAGAAGCGGGGTGGGGCCTTGTACATAGGGGGTAGAAATGTCTGGGATAAGGGGGGGGGTAAAGACCTAGTTCTTCACAATCTGGAGTTTGTAAATAACTCCGTACAGGCAGGCGGGGGTGGCGCCATATACGGCGGATTACCGCGGTCCTTGGGCCTAGGCGCAGCACATGACATCTGCACAAACTGCACTGCTGTAAACAACACAGCCAAATATGGCTCTGACTTTGCATCACAACCGTCCAATTTCCAAGCCACCTGGGGTGGGATGAGGTCCCTCCAACTACCGTCAGCCCCACAAGGCATACCTGTCGACGGTGTTGATCCTAATGATGCCTCACTGTCTGCGCCACCCTCCATCGGCGTACCCTTGAACGAGTCAGATCCTGCAAGTTTCAGGGTCCTCTTTGTCTATGGGAAACCGATCTCCGGCCTCTCGGTTGTCCTGCTGGACGACTTTGGCAACAAAGCGCATGGCAATGACGAAGCTGTGGCGGCCATTACGTCCAACGTCACTTTGCTTTCCGGCAATCTACGAGCTATCGCACAAGACGGGGTCATAAACTTTGGCGATATCCTTGTTGCTAGGGATCCATTTCTGCCAGTGACGAATAATATCTCCTCCGGCTGGAGGCCTCACATCACGATCACCGTCTTCAGTCTACTGGACGAGTACCCATCGATGTCCGGGAATGTACCGCTCGGGCTCTGCGACAGCGGCTTCTCTCTGGACCCCCTGACTTCACGGTGCGTAGTCTGTCCACCTGGACACTACTGCGAGCAGGGACAGCCAGACCAGCCCTGCCCGGACGCCAAGTCGTCGTTCACAGGTGGCGCTCGTTCGATCAACGACTGCAAGAGCTGTAGTGTTGGGTACGGGGCTCACGGACTCGAATGCCGTGCCGCAAGAATCACCGTCAAGCCCGGTTATTGGTTGGATACCAATAGCATCAGCAATGTGCCACATGTCTACCCTTGCAAGTCCTTCCACAGTTGCACGGGGTTTGAGTACCTGGCCAATATGACAGCAAGGGGGGGGGGGGTCCAGTGCGAAACCGGGTTTGACCAAAGCAGCCGCCTTTGCAGCCAGTGTGAACGTGGGTATTTCGAGTCTCTGCGTAGATGCAGAAAGTGTGGAAAAGAACGTCGAAATCTGTTTCCACTTCTTGCGGCTTGTCTGGTCACCACTTGCATCATCCTCAACATGCTAAGCACAGCCTTCAGCTCCATCGATATTGCTCTTACAGAAGCGCAGATATTTGTCGTGATCGGGGCCTTCGACATCCATTGGATTGGAAATTCTTGGATTGATGAGATTCTTCAGATCCTCAATGTGACAATGTTCAGCCCGGTATGGTTATTAACTAACACACACAAAACCGCCTCCTTTTTTTTTCAATATCCCGATAATCGCTCTCAATATCAAGCAATATTCGATCTGTCAATGGGACGGGTCTCGACCCTCAATTCTTGTTCTTTTTTTGGTCTACCATGAAATTCATTAAAAAAGATCACAAATTTGACTTTTTTTTTTTTTTTTTTTTCAAATTTGAAATTTGAAATTTCCCTTGTCGGGATTTTTTTTTGTGCCTGAAAAAGAGACTTTTGAATTTCAGCTTGTACCTGCAACCCCCAACCCTGACAACACTGCTGCGTTGTTCTAGGCATGCTTTTGTTTTGTCATTTCATTCCTTGGTTTTTGGGGTCCATGTCTCGATTATTGTGTGTGTCATCCTTGAAAAAATGAATGCGCAGGGGCCATGCTAAATTGCTAATTCATTAAAATTATTTAAATTAAAATTATTTAAATTAAAATTATTTAAATTAGTCTTCCCTGTATCGTTCCAATTGGTTCTTCCTTTAGACCAATTGGGCCCAGGTCCTGTTTCCTGTGGTTGTCTGATCATAACGTATGACAATTGACTGTTGTGACGCTTGTTCGTCTGTGGAGACCTCCTGTCCCAAGAAAGCATCTGACCCCGCCCGTCTTCCCCTGAACGTAACAACCAACGCCCCCTCATCACGGCCATAGCGGACTGGAAAGATAGCTTGTATACGTTCATAAAATGAGGGTCCATTGTGTTTGGGTGAAGACGGTAGTCTTCCATTCTTTCAAGGATTCATCGGGCGGGGACCAGATAGAGGTCAGGTACCGTCGGGCGGGGACCTGATAGAGGTTAGGTACCACCTGGCGGGGACCAGATAGAGGTCAGGGACCACCGGGCGGGGACCAGATAAAGGTCAGGTACCGCCGGCCCGGGACCAGATAAAGTTCAGGTACAAAGGAGTTAGGAAGACAGATGTCTGTCTTTATGATCAGGACTCTGCCTTGGAGGAAAGCTTGGGCTTAACGCCAGTACAGTTACAGTTATCGTCCTCCCAAAGGGAAATTTTCGGAGGTTTTTCCCAATCTCTGTGTCATAATTGCACAGGGGCCATGCTAATCTTCTCCGTATGGGGAGTTCTGGCTGGGCCAGGAGTTCTGACCGTCCACGAGGGCTTGCACCACAGTGGCACAGTTTGCCTCCCAAATGACAGTTGTCTTTTCCTTTGTTTTTTCTGCATTTGTGAGACTGTGGCGTGTTTTTTTTCCCACTGGGGGTGACTGGGGTGAATTTTGTGTCGGGGGGGGGGGGGGGGGGGGRGGGGGRGGRGTTTTTCCCATTGGTAAAACTTTGACAGATCGATACGGAAAACTGTATTAGGAGGGTGGGTGCAATAAAAAAATGTCATCAATGCCCTCGTCATGCATGCAGGGAATGGGTTTATTCAAAATTTACTGGATTGGTTTGAGTTTGTGATCCATTAATGCGGCATGAATTTGGAATCCATTAATGCAGCATAAATGTAGATAAGTTGAATCTGGTCATACCGCTCTATGAGATATGCATTATGGTAATATAGTAATATAGTAAATATACATATCGTCAGCAGTAGAGAAATCACAGGACGAGGAGGAGGAGGTATTGTGGGAACAAAGGGAAGCTCTCCAAACGTAGACACGTATAAAATGGAGGTGAGAGAGGGGGAAACTGGGCATAACAGATAACAGGAAAACTTGGGGGTAGTACACAACCAAGAGAGAAGGTTGGGGGGAGGGAGGCTGTGGAGAGAAGGAGAGAGAGGGGGAAATGACAGAGTCAGACAGAGAAGGTCGGGAGGGGGGTGAGAAAGTCACCAATAAGATGGCAGTGCAAACATGCTGAAGCCAACCTGCAGTGGGCGCACATCTCTCTCTCTCTCTCTCTCTCTCTCTCTCTCTCTCTCTCTCTCTCTCTCTCTCTCTCTCTCTCTCTCTCTCTCTCTCTCTCACACACTCCTTGTTATGTTTGAACTATAATTTTCTTTTTTTTTTACGCTCCTCCTTCCCCCCTGCCCT